CCCCGGGCACGTGGCGCTTGCGGGGGGAGCGCCGGCCCCGAGCGCGTGGCTATGGGGGGGCCCCGCCTCCGGGCATGCGGCTATGGGGGGGGGCCGCCCCCGGGGCGCGCAAGTGTCCCCGCCCGCTGGCGCCCGGCGGGCAAACAGCCACGCCCCCTGGCGCCCGACAACCTCAAAAGGTTGGGGACCACTGCCTTAGGAAATGTAGCATCACATATGGATTAAAAGATTAAAACGAAATTTGTTTTGCTATAGTGCAAATGAAGTCTGATTAAATAAAAACCAACACAATCTGGTCACTTGAGTTCAAGAAATCTAGTTACGGGAACGCAGCAAAGGGGAACATAGGAGAGAACCAGGATCCACTGAAGCAATGTGATGAAGAACATTTCCAGCCAAAGCTTCATGCCATGTCCAGAACTAGCCCCTTTCCTCACCGCTGTGGACACCACTAAAAAAGATCCAAGATGAAAACAGTGTAAAAACTGAAGACAAAGTACGAACACTAACAAGGATTTTCCAAATGTTTATTAAATGGGCCATTCAACTTGGTACTGTAAACAAACACATCCAAGCAATAACAAGTTACAATAGTGTAATATTCTGAAGACAGAATAAAAGCTGAGATATTTAACTTAAATACAAAAATGCTCGAATATACATTGGAAGCTTGACTGTTCTTGAATAAAATATTTAAAAAAAAATCCACCAAGAAACCTTCTCAAAGCAGATGTAATATGAACAAAAAAATCTCTTGTTGCCACCCTATTTGGAGACAAATCGCACGAAAACAAAGTTCACTGATAAGACATCTAATTTTAGTCAATTACTACTGACAAAAGTTCTCAAATAAAAAAAAGAGCACTAAGGTCCCCAATCCTGCAGCAGCACATTAATGCAGTGGGACTACATAGGTATGAAAAGTTATGCACATGCTCAAGTCTATGCAGGACCAGGACCCAATTCACTTGACCCCAGGAAAAGCGTGCCTGATCATTTCACATTTCTCTTTTTGTCAGCTTTGTACATCTCAGGCAGTTCAACTCCACAAACTGTCACAAAGAACAGGAACACCACTAATTTGAGCATGTGGGAAAAAAAACCAACAAATCACCCACCCTTTGAGGAATCACTAGTGAGAAGGTGAAATAACTTCTAGAAATTCTGAGCAGAAAAGAATATCCCACCATGGTCATTTCTGGTTTGCACAGAAATACCTTTATCTGATTTTTCTTCAGTTTTTGTTCAACTAAAGCAAAAACATCAGACAAGATTATAAAGGTGGTTGTATTGTAGTTTTTAAAATAAATGCATGGCATTAAAAAAAACCTCACTTTTATGTATGTATACCAGCTACATCCTTTCTATTCAGGACAGGAGAAAAGTGTTGGCATTGGTCTTCAACCTGAAGTGCATCAAAGCTATTCAGTTTACCGGCTATGAATGTCCAGGAATAAATTCAGATTTTGTACAGATTGTTACACATCCATGTTTTCAAATATTTCTGCCAGTCCCATGTCAGTAGCCTTCTCTTCACTGTATAGATAAAATCATCTTTCCAGTTTATTGGCAAGTGTCCAATAATAGCCCTTCTTCAATGTAAATCCCATCCTTTCTTCTGTGAACTGACAAAAATATATCATTCCTTTTTAAAAATGTCAGAAACATACATGTTGTTCCAAAGTAGGAAAAACCTGACTTCAAATAGAAACAAGCCTCCTCAAACTAGATTTGCTACTAGGAATTAATTACTCAGGTTTCCATTTCAGTCTCTATGATTTCAGTCCTGGAAGTAGTTCTTGATTCTCTCATGTTCTCCCCATCTAAGTCCAGAATGACAGACAGATCAATAGCAGGTACCGGTGCTCTCCAGTACTGGAATGAGTTGTATTCCCAAAATTCTTCCTCGTGCTTTGGAAATAAAAACACTGTGTTAATGTACAGCATTGCAGTAGAAAGAAGAGAATAACCCCCTTTCAAAATAAACAGTCAACAGACATTTCCCAGATGGTTTTAGGGTTATATATTTTACTTTCTTAAGAAAATGTAATACACTAAAAATAACGGACACTTCTAACCAAATAATTTGCTTCTGATTTTGGTATAATTCAGTATTTTTGCTGAGGACTCTCATATTATCTTTGAGTATCTTACATGCAAACTTGCTACTGTAGCTCAGTTTATGCCTGCAATGACACATTTAAGAGGCAATATTTCTGCACTTTTTTATAAGTTTACACAAATCGATATTGTTCATTGCAAACTCTCCTTTGTTGCCTTTCACAATATATGTGAATACTGTGGACAATTTCAAAAGTCAATTCCTAAGACATTTCTTAGCTTAAGGAATATTCATGAACTTTTCTGTCAGTGTCAAAGAACCCTAAATATTTCTCCAAAAGACAACTGAATGCATCTATGGTAGAGTTATTTAAAGAACTGCAGCTACAGTGAAAGAAAAATACAAGAAAAAATCTTCAATATTCTGTTCATTTTTTCTTTCTAGATTTACACATATGTAAATACAAACAAAGCAATCCTAATAATGAAGTTAAGATAAGCAGTGCAGACAACAACTAATAAGACTAGACTGATTTACTCTACAGACAAGTTTGTTACAAAACTGTTTTTTTCCCCAGCAACCTGCTTGCTGTTTTTAGCTAAAGATCATTACTCCAATAAGCAGCACTAAAGCTAATGGAGTGAGACACTCCATGCAAAGACTGTTTCTGTTGAAGAAACGCAGGCCACAAAAAGGGAACATAAGTAAATCTTCAATTCATCCATTGTGGAATATATACAATATTTGTTATATATAAAATTTGTTGCTCCAAGCTCATGATTCTCTCCTAAACTAAGGGACTAAGCAAAAACAATTATTCCTGTTACAACTTAAAATGACATATTTCTGTTTAATTTTGTTTTACTCTATTGTTTCTAATACTCAGAATATTAGAAATGAAAAAAAAATTGTTTCAACAGAGTTTGAAATTAACATGGTATTTCTAACTACTGAACTGATAACATTCAGTGCAGACATGGCTTTTGAAATAATAAACTTTTGCAACCTCTGCAGGATCTGCAGTAGAAGAGAACAAAATGTGAACAAATAATTATATGGAATTATCAGACAGTCATTTGGTGTCATACTATTAAGCACTTTCAGATAGGGAAATCCGCGGGGGATTTAAATATCACCCGCGGGATTTAAATAAACATGTCCGCCACTTTTTTTCCGGCTTGGGGAAAAGCCGGAAAAAAGCGCCTAGACTGGCGCGATCCTCCGGAATAAAGCCCTTTTCCGGAGGATCTCTTATTCCTACTTGCCTATTCCGTCTTATGTGGCCAGTCTAGATGTAGCCTAGCAAAAAGAATGTGTGGAAAAGACTCAGATCTTTTCTGTAACCTTGGAATATTTTCAAAACAGAGCTTCAAAATCCATTCATCAATGATAGTGGAAAGCCTAAAGGCCTTACCCAATCAATTTCTGTATAATTTAATATTTTGTTTTAAAAAGTTGGTTTTTCTAACTCTACCAGTGCAGAGATAAACTCCTATGTGACAAATTATTCTGTCTTCTTGAGTCTGCATACAGTCAGCTCTAGGACAACTACAGTTACACACGTTGCTAAGCATCAGCATAAAATTAAACTATTCCAGTCTGTTTTGCTACTGTTATGACATCTATAAGAAGCAATACAATTGTGAATCAGGTCAAGTTTATGCTGCTGCTGTTTGGGAGATCTATGAGAAGTAAAAACATCAATGATAGAGTTAGGTCCCAAATAAACGAGTTAGACAGTTGGAGTAATTAAGTAATTCTGTTACCAAAAAACTCCACCTCTTTAGGAGTGTGTATAGCCGTAGCTGATAACTTTGAAACTGGAGGATATTAAAAAGGGTGCATTCCCAAGCAAAATTTATGGAAACTAGTAAATTTGACAAAACTTATTTTAATATGGCATTATGTTTATACAAGCCAGATCCTCACAGGCACCGGCTCCCATCTCCCGCCCCCTTGCTGCCTCTGATACAGGCAGCAAGTGGGGCGGGGGGGAAGAGAGTGCATATAGTCAGCCCAGGCTTATTGGTTAATTGTGTAGTCATTTACATGTTAACATCACTAATGTTTACAGCCTTCTATACATGAAAAAATGTATACATAATTACAATTAACAAATACCGTGACGTAAGGTAAAAACAACAACAAGCTCAGTACTTCCAATAAAAATCCTTAAACCAACTTCTGCTACTAAAACACTCAATAAAGGGTCTCTCCTTCCTTCTTTCAGAGATATGTTCTAGTATGAAGCTTGGCCTAATATGGGTTTTACATTAGAATCAAAATATCATTCCATACGTCATTTGTGGACAGTGTTTCCTGTAAACTGTGCACTTGTGCGGCCACACAAGAGATATTCAAATGTAGACCAGCTGATTAGCACAGCACCTACACCTACATTCTTTCTACTGGTAATGCACATTAATGCTTTGGTGCACATAAAAATGTATACCACACAAATATGGAAAAAAATAGAGGGAACATTGTTTGTAGAATAATTCTATGCATTTCGTATGTATGCTTGTGATCATGAGGAAAAGAGCAGAAGAGAACATGACACTGTATGTGAAAATCATAAATTCCAATATAGCACAGTTGCACATAGCTCAAGAACCCAGATTTCCAAAAATGGATACCTAAAACTAGGGTCTTAAGTCTATAATTGGCATGATAAAAATACTAAGTTGCCAAGAAATTTGGACAAAGGCTTCTATTTTCACTTAAAACATCTAAGATGGCAGAGAGATGAATGAATAGATCTTTTCTACCCCAGGATCTAGGATTTATTCTTGGGAAGAGATTTTAGTTGTTTTATTTAGGAATTTCTTTCAGCAAAAATAATGTAAAAAAAATAATGTTGTCTATCTTTGCCATTGTTTCATTTTTTTAAATCTGCATTTATCATTATCACCTCACCATAGGTTTAATGATAATTGACCTTTTTCCTACTATTGCTTCAAGTGGGTCCCTCTGGCATCACTGCACAGAACAAATATGTCAGGGAAAAATTAGTCTCTGAGAAACATCAACTCTGTGGATTTAATAATTCGGAAATGGTATCAACCATTAACATGGTAAATCTTTAGGGATCTTCTGTGCATACATTCTGATGGTAAAGTCAAATTAAACTGTCTTGAGTTCAGGAAAAGTTGGGTTTTACCTTCTGCCTGGAGATTGAGCAATGCAAAGAGGGAAAGCGGTGATTTAGGTTCTGTAGCCCCAGTGAGAGGAAAGGCCCTTTAAGAAGACATGTGTAATCCATGGAAGACTCCATTTACAGTGAGGCACAAACTACACAGAAACCTTAGAAATAAGGTATTTTATCTATTAAAATTAGAGTGAGGTCTGCACCCTGTGTTAATCGAGTACATTTTGTGCAGTAGTACTGGAACAATTTTGAATAGTAGGGGTGCTGAATCATTTAACTGTAAACCCTTTATAGGATGGAAACTACTTCAAGCCAAGGGCTGGTGGAAAATCCCTAGTTCCAGCACATATGGTTTTGTGGTTAGAGACGAAGATCATCTTTGTACATCGCCCACCTGAAGAACCACTCAGAACACTAGTTTAGTCCAGCTACAAAAGATGTGAGGTTAAAAAGCAGAGACAGTATTGCTCAACCTTCAAACAATTTGCACAGCAGCAGTTGGGATGAGAAGCTGTATGTGGCCACACAACAGCCAGGAGGTCTTTCAGATAAGCCCAACACCACTTGCTGGCCACATCCACGTGGCCACACAAGAGTTTGGCGAGGAGAGCAGCTGGGGTGGGCAAGGGGGGAGAGGGGCAGCCTGTGCTTCCTGCGCTGACTTAGTTCTTACCCTGCGGGACAAACCGCCTGAACTAGTCTCTCCCCCCAGTGCGTGCAGCGCCCTGGCCACAACAGGGACCCCCCCAGAGCCGGTAACTGCGGCCTC